TTAGTTGGGCAATGGGCGAACAACCCCGCGTGTTGCGCAAAGACGGCACGAGCTCTATTGCGACAGCGGGTGTAAGCTCGCGGCCGTGATGAGTGATGTAATGTCCGACGGACCCTATCGCTGTCGGCAGATTACCTGATGCGGCTACTGGTGCTCCAAGGCGTGCCGTCTATTTCATGTGGGAATTGATACATGAAATAGACGACAGTTTACGTAGCCACGCCCGTCGACACAGCGTACAGATGCCGTGGGTCTCAGCTGTGTAAGGGGCGTGCGGCGTTCGTTACAGGTGCGCGGGCCGTCACTGCGGCCAAGAACTGCCCGCCTGTGTTTTATCCCGAGCCATAACGCCCGTTTGACGTGCAGTAACCAGCCAACGCCCGCAGTGTGGCCGGGAAACTTGCCCGCAAAAGTGTTCGCCAACACTTTCGCGCAGTGTTCGCCCCCAAACCCAAAAACTTTGCCCGCAGTTGTGCGCCAACGCCTTGCCCGCAGTGTTCGCCGACACTTGCCTTGCAGTGTTCCGCCGACACTTGGCCCGCAGTGTTCGCTGACACTTGCCCGCAGTATTCACCGACACTTGCCCGCAGTGTTCGCCGACACCGTGTCGTTAACACGCGCTCGGCCATGTCCAGGGCGGGCTGTCGGTCATGGGTGGCGTACACGTGCATCTGCGGCAGCGGGGAGAACGGGGCCGTGCTGCACTACGGCCACGCGGGCGCGCCCAACGACAAGACGGTGCGTGACGGCGATATGTGGTACGTGATGCCGGCTGTTGCCTCTCCCCGCCATGGCTTACCGCCAGGGTCAACGGGGCGCCGCCCGTACCTCGCCCCGGGGTCACGGACACCGCTCCTCCCGTGGGTGTTCGTCATGTGGTTTTGGCGTGCTCACGTGTGCCGCCGCGTCCTTGTGGGACCAGGGCGCGGGGCAGAACAGGAGACGTGCTCGGCCTGCATACGAGTCAGCTGCTTAAATATTCCATCGCCGATGAGGCACACTGATGGCGCAATGTCGCGTTTGCAGTTGATTTCAGTGTGAATGCTGCCTTTTGCCTTGGTCGTGAATTAGCCTGTTAGGCAGGGGGTGCAGACACGCGCCGAGACAAAGGCCTTGTATTCTACGAAAGCAATTGGCATGCGTGGTGGTCGGTGATTGTAGCCGCCGTTCGTTCTACCTAAGTGGCCGGCAAATTGCAACGACCGAGGTTCCACCTTTTCCGTCCTGTCCCGGATGACGTGAAGCTCCGTTTGAGGGCGACGGCCGCTGCACGTCGCTGCTGTTGACACGGTGGGTCTGACCGCCTCTTGCGCGCGGCCACAGCCTGTTCGACATGGGAGCCGAGTACTACTGCTACACGTCAGACATCACCTGCTCCTTCCCGTCTAACGGCAAGTTCACCGACAAGCAGAAGGTCATCTACAACGCCGTACTGAAGGCCAGCAGGGCCGTCATGGACGCGCTGAAGCCAGGTGGGTGTGTCCCGAGCTGGATCGGGACCGTCGTGGACGCATGGAAGCCAGGTGGGTGTGCCGTGCTCGATGTACTCCTCGGAGCCGTGCCCCTGGGTGCAGTGCGTCAACCGATTTAGCTGAGCAGTTGCAGTGAACTCTTATCGTCAGATAGCGTCAGCTCACGTCTATGAATGTCGTGTCGTTGGATAGGGGTGTTTATGATCTGTCGCGGGTCGCGGGGTTGGTGTTTTGTCGCCTTAGATGTAGTTGGCGCGGGGGATTGTACGACGACGGACCATTGGTGTTAAATACATTTTAACATAACTCCAAAACTATTGTAAACTAGGGTGGGTGAAACCACGCTGAGTGGGGTTGTATTGTCCAGCCTGGGTCAGGTGCGGTGTTATGCTCTGACTACTTGCTTTTGTTATCACTTAAGTGAGTTCAGCAGTGTCCACCTTCAGTGCGCCAGATCTCCCGCTTATTCTCGGCACTGCTCAGAAACGCCAGTGTGGCAGCTGCTTTTTGTACAGCTGTGGGCGGCTGTGCAGCGACCAGTCGCCGCCGTGCTTAGCGACAAAAGAATAGTCTCGCGGTTGGACTTTCGATATCTCGAGCGCGCCTCTCACGGACCGCGCCGTTGCCAAGCAACCGACAGTCAGCTGACGGGTCGGCGCACGAGGGGCGTCTGCTCTGCCTGTCGGTCGGGTGACCCCTGACGCCCCGCCCCCGCCCCCCGCTCCAGGTATCTGCTGGGTGGACATGCACCTGCTGGCCAACCGCGTGACGCTGGAGGAGCTGAAGGCGGCCGGCATCCTCCGCGGCAGCGTCGACGACATGATGAAGGTCGGGAAGGCGAGAGGAGCCAGTCTAGAGACGCGGTGTCTGTGGGGGGGGGGGGGGGGGGCTGGTGAGCGGGCGACACATGCTTGAAGGGGCACGTGACTGTGGCCGAGGTCTGGCAGCGGTACAGGTGGACCGCCATCAGACGGTCTGTTGCGGGTTCACGTTCTCTGCCGTGACCTGAGTAGTGTGTGCTTCGACAGTGTGAGCACTCTGGGACACCAATGTGTAGCTGCTATTGGTTACCAGTGTGGAGGTGCTGTGGGTACCAGTGAATATCTGCTATTGGTTGCCAGTGCGGAGGTGCTGTGGGGTACCAGTGAATATCTGCTATTGGTTGTCAGTGCGGATGTGCTGTGGGGTGCCAGTGAGTATCTGCTATTGGTTGCCAGTGTGGAGGTGCTGTGGGGACACAATATCTGCTATTGGTTGCCAGTGCGGAGGTGATGTGGGGTGCCAGTGAGTATCTGCTATTGGTTGCCAGTGCGGAGGTGCTGTGGGGTACCAGTGAATATCTGCTATTGGTTCCAGTGCGGAGATGCTGTGGGGTACCAGTGAGTATCTGCTATCGGTTGCCAGTGCGGAGGTGCTGTGGGGTAACCAGTGAATATCTGCTATTGGTTGCCAGTGCAGAGGTGCTGTGGGTTACCAGTGAATATCTGCTATTGGTTGCCAGTGCGGAGATGCTGTGGGGTACAAGTGAGTATCTGCTATTGGTTGCCAGTGCGGAGGTGCTGTGGGGTACCAGTGAGTATCTGCTATTGGTTGCCAGTGCGGAGGTGCTGTGGGGTACCAGTGAATATCTGCTATTGGTTGCCAGTGCAGAGGTGCTGTGGGGTACCAGTGAATATCTGCTATTGGTTGCAGTGCGGGAGATGCTGTGGGGTACCAGTGAGTATCTGCTATTGGTTGCCAGTGCGGAGGTGCTGTGGGGTACCAGTGAGTATCTGCTATTGGTTGCCAGTGCGGAGATGCTGTGGGGTACCAGTGAGTATCTGCTATTGGTTACCAGTGCAGAGGTGCTGTGGGGTACCAGTGAATATATGTTATTGGTTGCCAGTGTGGAGGTGCTGTGGGGTACCAGTGATTATCTGCTATTGGTTGCCAGTGTCCAGGTGCTGTGGGGTACCAGTGAGTACCTCCTATTGGTTGCCAGTGCGGAGGTGCTGTGGGGTACCAGTGAGTATCTGCTATTGGTTGCCAGTGTCCAGGTGCTGTGGGGTACCAGTGAGTATCTGCTATTGGTTGCCAGTGTCCAGGTGCTGTGGGGTACCAGTGAGTATCTGCTATTGGTGGCCAGTGTCCAGGTGCTGTGGGGTACCAGTGAGTATCTGCTATTGGTTGCCAGTGTCCAGGTGCTGTGGGGGTACCAGTGAGTATCTGCTATTGGTTGCCAGTGTCCAGGTGCTGTGGGGTACCAGTGAGTATCTCCTATTGGTTGCCAGTGTCCAGGTGCTGGGGTGTACCAGTGAGTATCTGCTATTGGTTGTCAGTGTCCAGGTGCTGTGGGGTACCAGTGAGTATCTCCTATTGGTTGCCAGTGTCCAGGTGCTGTGGGGTACCAGTGAGTATCTGCTATTGGTTGCCAGTGTCCAGGTGCTGTGGGGTACCAGTGAGTATCTCCTATTGGTTGCCAGTGGTCCAGGTGCTGTGGGGTACCAGTGAGTATCTGCTATTGGTTGCCAGTGTCCAGGTGCTGTGGGGTACCAGTGAGTATCTGCTATTGGTTGCCAGTGTCCAGGTGCTGTGGGGGTACCAGTGAGTATCTCCTATTGGTTGCCAGTGTCCGGGTGCTGTGGGGTACCAGTGAGTATCTGCTAGTGGTTTGCCAGTGTCCAGGTGCTGTGGGGTACCAGTGAGTATCTGCTATTGGTTGCCAGTGTCCAGTGCTGGTGGTGTAACCAGTGAGTATCTGCTATTGGTTGTTCAGTGTCCAGGTGCTGTGGGGGTACCAGTGAGTATCTCCTATTGGTTGCCAGTGTCCAGGTGCTGTGGGTACCAGTGAGTATCTGCTATTGGTTGCCAGTGTCCAGGTGCTGTGGGGGGTACCAGTGAGTATCTGCTATTGGTTGCCAGTGTCCAGGTGCTGGGGTGTACCAGGAGTATCTGCTATTGGTTGTCAGTGTCCAGGTGCTGTGGGGTACCAGTGAGTATCTCCTATTGGTTGCCAGTGTCCAGGTGCTGTGGGGTACCAGTGAGTATCTGCTATTGGTTGTCAGTGTCCAGGTGCTGTGGGGTACCAGTGAGTATCTCCTATTGGTTGCCAGTGTCCAGGTGCTGTGGGGTACCAGTGAGTATCTCCTATTGGTTGCCAGTGTCCAGGTGCTGTGGGGTACCAGTGAGTATCTCCTATTGGTTGCCAGTGTCCAGGTGCTGTGGGGTACCAGTGAGTATCTGCTATTGGTTGCCAGTGTCCAGGTGCTGTGGGGTACCAGTGAGTATCTGCTATTGGTTGCCAGTGTCCAGGTGCTGTGGGGTACCAGTGAGTATCTCCTATTGGTTGCCAGTGTCCGGGTGCTGTGGGGTACCAGTGAGTATCTCCTATTGGTTGCCAGTGTCCAGGTGCTGTGGGGTACCAGTGAGTATCTGCTATTGGTTGCCAGTGTCCAGGTGCTGTGGGGTACCAGTGAGTATCTGCTATTGGTTGCCAGTGTCCAGGTGCTGGGGTGTACCAGTGAGTATCTCCTATTGGTTGCCAGTGTCCAGGTGCTGTGGGGTACCAGTGAGTATCTCCTATTGGTTGCCAGTGTCCAGGTGCTGTGGGGTACCAGTGAGTATCTCCTATTGGTTGCCAGTGTCCAGGTGCTGTGGGGTACCAGTGAGTATCTCCTATTGGTTGCCAGTGTCCAGGTGCTGTGGGGGTACCAGTGAGTATCTGCTATTGGTTGCCAGGTGTCCAGGTGCTGTGGGGTACCAGTGAGTATCTGCTATTGGTTGCCAGTGTCCAGGTGCTGTGGGGTACCAGTGAGTATCTGCTATTGGTTGCCAGTGTCCAGGTGCTGTGGGGTACCAGTGAGTATCTCCTATTGGTTGCCAGTGTCCAGGTGCTGTGGGGTACCAGTGAGTATCTGCTATTGGTTGGCCAGTGTCCAGGTGCTGTGGGGTACCAGTGAGTATCTCCTATTGGTTGCCAGTGTCCAGGTGCTGTGGGTACCAGTGAGTATCTGCTATTGGTTGCCAGTGTCCAGGTGCTGTGGGGTACCAGTGAGTATCTCCTATTGGTTGCCAGTGTCCAGGTGCTGTGGGGTACCAGTGAGTATCTCCTATTGGTTGCCAGTGTCCAGGTGCTGTGGGGTACCAGTGAGTATCTCCTATTGGTGCCAGTGTCCAGGTGCTGTGGGGTACCAGTGAGTATCTGCTATTGGTTGCCAGTGTCCAGGTGCTGTGGGGTACCAGTGAGTATCTCCTATTGGTTGCCAGTGTCCAGGTGCTGTGGGGTACCAGTGAGTATCTCCTATTGGGTTGCCAGTGTCCAGGTGCTGTGGGGTACCAGTGAGTATCTCCTATTGGTTGCCAGTGTCCAGGTGCTGTGGGGTACCAGTGCAGAGCTGCTATGTGGAACCGTCGTGCAGTTATTGTGGGCTTTTAGCTTGTGGCTGCTATTATTTCGTTACTTTGTGGCTGTGGTTGATTACCAGTATGCACATTCTCGTTACTTTGTGGCTGTGGTTGATTACCAGTATGCACGCTCTCTGTCTAACCGCTGCGTCTGTTGCGCCTGACTAGCGCGTGCAGCGCCTCACTGTCTCCTCTCCCCCCCCCCCCCTCCCCCTCCCGAGCAGGCGAACCTGGGCGCCACATTCCAGCCGCACGGACTGGGCCACTTCCTCGGTTGTGACGTGCACGACGTGGGCGGCTACCTGCGCGGCCAGCCGGAGCGGCGCTCCGAGGCGGGCCTGCGGAACCTGCGCACGGCGCGTACCATCCGGGCCGGCATGGTGCTCACCATCGAGCCCGGCTGCTACTTTATCGACCACGTGAGGAGTGGCGGGAGCGGCTGGGCAGTGGAGGTGTCAGTCGGGCGTCACGGTGGGCAGTGCAGTGTTCGTTTTCGCGTCGCAGTTATCGGCGCTGCCACTATCGAGTGGGGATTGCTTTTTGGTTTGGTTTGGGTTAGAGCCCGTTTAGGCCGGTAGTGACCCCTTCAGGTCTATGGGATGAAGGACAGTATTTCATGCGCCTGGGGTTCTCCGCCGGGACTTGGCCCTCACAGGGACCCCAGTGCGGAGTACGTGGTCAGCGTTCGGACGGGGCCCCACCAGGGTGCGCCTCAGCCCACTCGTGGCCGGCGTATGTAGCTTGAACCAGATGAACGGGCGTCACGAGAATGTAGAATGCAGTGAGAATGGCGAGAGAGGGCTGATGAAAGTAAAAGGGTGTATGCAGATGTAGCTGGGTGGAGCATCCCAACAATGAGGTTATGAGAAATGAAAGGTCAAGGGTTGAATGAGGTGGCGTACATCAGTTGGGAACGGAAATGTCATGAACCTGGATGGTATGCCAGCTGCTCACCCCATTCATTGCGAACTTAACGCGTTCGTGTCGCCCCTGTCATCCTACGAGAAGTGTTACATCATAGCCCGCTGTCGACTGATCGCCCTGCCATCTGCCGGCCAGCTGCTGAACCAGGCGGAGTCGGACCCGGTGCTGAGCCAATTTCTGGTGCCGGAGATGGTACGTCAGTACCGCGGCTTCGGCGGCGTGCGCATTGAGGACGACGTGGTCGTCACCCAAGACGGCATGGAGTGTCTGACCGTCGTGCCGCGCACGTAAGGCTCTGCCTCTCCCCCCGCCCACCCTCTCTCCTCACTCTCCACGCGAGCTGGGGTGAGCCGGACGACTCAGACGTTCGGCGCCGTACTAGTATTGGTTGCGGGGCGAGTGGCGGTGTGACCACCTGGGTAGGCAGCCCCCTCCCACCGCCGGGAGGGGGTTTCGGCGCGCCTGTCGGTGTGTGCATTTTGTCGGAGAACCGACGCGATGTGCGTCATGTGCGTGGTGAGTAGCGTCTGTATTGCCGTACGAGGTGCCCGATCGTTGTGAGCCGGGCAGAGAGGTGGCGACATGTGAAGAGTGCGGCGCCCAGCCAGCGTCTGCGCGTGTTTTGGGTGGGGTGTTTTGGACTGTGCTGCCACCTTCTGTTCACTTACTGCGGCTTCTGTTTGGGAATGGGAGGGTGCATTCGTGCTATGTGCATGGAACAAGCTTAACCCAGCGCTCTTGGGCTTGCCATTTGTGGCTCCAGTCAGCCAACCTGGCTGCGGTTGCGAAACTGAAGCGGGAATTGGAAATTTATTCACTTGGTTTGCGTGGTGGGTTTCATAGCTCGGGGTTAACTTTGTCTAACCGACGCACCTTATGCATAAATGTTTCAAAATCAGGCAATCAAATAAAGTCGTCTTTTTTCTGCTCGCATGCGTGCGGGATGAATTTTATAATTGCGTATTTGTGAGACAGGGCCTTGGTTGTCTGTTTATCGTCAGATAGTTCTCAGTGGAATGGTTTTATTGAGCCAGGTCTTACTCCATCAGGTGACTGATCTGTTTGACGTGTGTGTGGTCCGTGACTGACCGAGTGGCCCTGCGCCGGCAGTGTGGAGGAGGTGGAGGCCCTGATGGCCGAGGGACGGCGCCAGGAGGTGTTTGTACCTCAGCTTCACGCCGAGACCAAGCTGAACCAGTAGTCGGCCCAGCGCCCCTGCTGACCGAGAGCCCAGCTCGACCTAGCCCCAGCTCTATTGGGGCTGATCATGGCTCGCTACGGGTCGTTTCTAGCCGTGTGCCATCAACCGCGCCATAATTCGTAATCGCTGGTGTTGGTGTTGCTGTTGCATCGGTGCTTGGGAATGCGGGATGCGGTATTTTATGTATATACATATATGCTGAACTATTTTCTTAAATTTTGGTATGCGTACGTCTCAGACCTGCTGAGTGATGGAAGCGTCACGTTTTGGAGCCTCAAATCGTGCATAAGGCGGACGCATCATTTAACGAACGCGATGATGTCTGAATTGCAAGAGAGCAATTTATGGCAAGTTTATCCTGTCGCCTGAAGCCTATAGCTTGAAAAGTTGTTGCCAGTATGCGATTTTGTGATGCCAATTAGGATATTATACACGTTACCTAATAATGTTCTGAATAACAAAACGCACATGTGAATAAAAAGTTGGCTGGTGCACCTGTTCTTCCATTTCTTTTTGACAAAGGATTCAGTCGGCTAAAGATGGTTCCTGTTGGACATGAACCGTCGGTCAACTACGGAACTAGATATATTGGAAAATGGCTGTTTTTTTGGGCATGGGTAAGGCCGGGATTAGGCCACATCTGGGTCGCCATGAGGAATGCAGTGGCTGGCTTGGAGCTGCAAAAAATATCCCTGAAAAGAGAATCTCGTGGACGCCGGTGTGCTGAAGATGTTGGTCCGTGGACTGTAAAGGTGTAAGCCACAGCTGCAGTATACGTTTGGGCTCAATGCATTTCATCTCGGTTCCTATCCGGCTTCAGTTAAGTATACCAATATATGAAACACAGTCATAGGAATTTAAAAAGTCTCCGTGTGTAGAAATCCGAGCCTGACAGGAACTTTCTTAAACGTGTATTTCAAGCTTCATCCACCGTTGGATGCCATACGGCGGTACGTTTTGATAATTAAACCTGTGCCGTGAAAGAAACAGCTTCAGTGTGCTACCGATCACATTGTTGCAGCACGAGCTGCCTGCACCTATTGGGTTGGATTGGGATGGGCTGTATGAGAGCTATGTTTCGGTTGGTTTAGGTTGCCTATGGCGGGGTTGAATTTGTCCGAGCATGGGCTAATGATATCGGGTTGAGCTGCACATCTGTCACTAAAACGTCGTGAAGGCTATTATCACGTAAGTTCATTTCTATAAGTGTTCCAGTGCTGAGCTGCGGAAATCTCCGTAGGAGCTTCGGCTAAGTTGGCACTTGGTTGGTGTCGTGGTTGCAGGGCATGTCGGCTTACAGGAATATGATGCGTCCATAACTCATACATCTACCAATCATCCGATAAAACGCATGCATTCGTGTCCGTTTCTACATTACCCTAGCACTCCGAGCCACATAAGTCATTCAAAAATAGGTCAACGACTTATTTGGCTGGCCGGACCCCGGCGGCGAATACGCGTTGCAGCAGCCCGTGCATGACCAAGTTGCCTACTGTGTTTCGTCTCCGTGCAGAAGTGCCGTCGATGTGGGAACCACGTGCGCCCTGGCCGTCTGGCCGATGCCCGTCCCTCTCGGAACGCATCACAGCCGTCTCTGCAGTGGCGGCGCGGCAGTGCCTCTGCGCACGCGAGGCTCCGCTTCCTGCTAGAGACGGCGCAGGACGCCTCGCGCGCTTGGGGACACTGCTGACGACCCTGGCGGCGGCGGCGGCGGCTGGCTGCTGGCGCCGCCGGAGCCGGCTGCAGGATCACCGCTGCTGCCGCTGGCGGCGGCGGCGGCGGCGGCGGGCAGGCGGTGGCGGTGGCGGCGGTAGCGGCGGTGACCGGCTGCCCGCACCGCCGGAGCCGGCTGCAGGATCGCTACTTCTTCACGCTGGCGAGCCTTCTGACGCGCACGCTTGACGCAGTGGGTCAGCTCTGCATCGGACTGTAGGCTAACGCGCCACTGGCGGCGCTGGACCTGTCCAAGGTGGACACGGTCGTGCGGGGCCAGCTGGTCGGACCGCGCTGGAGCCTGGCCTGGACTACTCTGCAGTGGGAGGGGCCATGCGGGTGGCGGTGGAGCAATGGCGCGCCGTTCGCAGCGTTCCGGCTGTGGGAGAGAGCGGGCCCGGCGCCGGACGGCGACTGTGTGGCCCTCGACTGCGCCGGCATGGGGAGGAGCCTAGCATGCAGCGGCGCCGCAGCCCCGTCACAAGTGCGCCGGTCATGAGCTGCAGAGGTAGCTTCAGCCGCCCGCTTGCCCGCCTGGCCATCTGCTGACTGCGCTGAGATAGCTGGGAGGGTGAGCCCACAGTGGCGATCCCACCGCCCGGACCGCCGCTGTTCCCCGCCGTAGCGAGTCCGAGTCCGAGTCCGAGTCCGAGTCGGAGTCCGCGTCGCGGCGAGTGCTCTCCGAGCGCCGCCGCCAGTCTCGTCGCCATGCGGTCGTCTGGCATGCCGCCGCCGTCGCCGCAGCTGCTGCTGCTGCCCCCCCCCCCCCACCCTCCGCGCGCCGTACGCCGCTGGTGGCGGGGGGTTGCCCGCAGTTTGGCCATGACGGCGTCTGCTACCAAATTATAAATCCTCAGTCCTCCACACATCAGTGCTCATCACTGACTGGGCGGTTGCCGACGAGTTCTGAGGAAGTCAAGGTAACCCGGCCCTAGAGCCTAAGTCGTCGGAGTTACACACTTAGTTAACTCAGGAATCAGTGGAAGTGGAGGGTACAAGGGTCTGTCGTCGCTCGTGCGGCACAGCCCGCCGTGACCGGACATCGACGACGATCGGGGTTCATGGTGCTGGTTTGATGCTGAGATCGGGGCTTTGGGAGACCAGTGGGTAACCGGCGCTTCATCGGTCTTAGAGACTCCTACTGGGGTATGCTGACTACACAGAACCAGTCTCGCTCTCTCGCCCGTCTTGGGACACGAACATGAAGCATACCATGCAAGTTTAGTGAATCGTTCACAGATTGTATAACGCACAGGCCATAGAATCGTTGGTTTGCCCGTTTGTGTCCAGTACACATAAACACCCTGTTACAAGCAGCTGACAAGCGATGCCGGATAAGCTACCCGCACTTCGTTGCCTAGCCTTCAAGCATGTTACACAATATTAGCAACATTAGCCAACATAGTGCATTTCGTCCATTGCTTACAGCGCATTATTCGGCAACACCTTGATCTGCCGAACTCGTCCAATATAAATGGTCCATTGGTCATTTGTACTTGAAAGAGACTAAGCGCCATGTGACGCTAAAGCTGTTTTCCCAGCCTCTACAAACCGGTTAAATCCAGACCGCACCGGTACATATCACGCCTTCTTCAGGCACTGTGGCGTTCTCTTATCACCCATCGAGTTGTGGTGGTAGGCGCAGTGTTTGACCAGAAACTTGCTTGCGTAGAAGCGCGCCGGACACAGACCGCAGCTGTACTTGGGCCGCATCTGCACGCGCACGTGCCGGTCGTGCGCGTGTCCCACGAGCATGCTGTGCTCAGGAAAGCGTGCCTTACACAGGTTGCACGCGTAGACGGCGGAGGCGGCCGGCGGCGCCTCGCTCGGAGGAGGGCTGGGAAAGGCCGGTGGCGGCGAGGGCGGCCGTCGCCGACTTCCGCAGCTCAGCAACCACGAGAGCTGACGGCGACGCGGCTTGTTCCGCACCGAGGAGTGCAGCGGCAGTGGCGCGCGCCGCGACAGCAAGAAGCCACCCTCGGCACCGTCGGTGAGGTCGGCGGACGCTGGCGCGGCGGCGCACGGCTCCGGCCAGCAGTCCGAGTCCGTATCCGAGTCCGAGTCGTCCGAGTCGGTGGCCGTGCTGACCAGTACGAGCGGGTCGAGCGGCGGCGGCAGCTGACTGAAGGACAGCTGTCGCCGCGGCGGATGGCGCACGAACTGCGCCGTGCCGCACGCCTGCGCCGGCGGCCGCCGATGCGCGCTGCCAAGCTCCGCCTCTAGCCGGCTCAGCGCTGAGACGACGCGGCTAAAACGCTCGGCGTTTGCTACCGGCCGGCTGTCGTCACTGCTCTCGCCCACCGACCGTCCGCCCTCTCCTCCCGCGCCCACGCGCGGCTGCGTCCCCGGCGATGACACCTCAGGGCTGGAGGAGGCCGTCCGCCAGCCTGGCGCTACCGGGCGGCCCGGCCGCTCCCGGCCCATCTGCTGACCGCCGCCGCCGCTGCGAAGGATCCCCGGCCGTGGCGCGCCCGCCGCCACCTGGCGGCGAGACGGTGAGTCGGGTGGGATGAGCTCGTGCGCAGCGGCAAAGCGCAACGTCTTGGGCGAGGCCGGCTGCCGGTGCGCCAGCGTTGGCGTGCTGGCCGCCGGCGGGCAGAAGGCGGCGCGCGCGCGCAGCGGTGTCACCGGCCGGTGCTCGGCCGAGTGCGCCACGCTGCCGCGCAGCAGGTCCGGCCGCGGCAGCTTGGCCGGGGACGACAGTCGGCCGCCGGCCCGCTGCCAGCCGGAGTCGCCCGCCGCCGCGACCGGGACTGCGCCGGCCTCGGCCCCGACGTGCTCCACCGTCGCCGCCACCTGGCGGAGCCTCGCCCGGGGTGGCTCCTCGCTGCCGTACGCCCCAGCAGGCGGCGCCAGTGAGGCGGACGGGATGTCGTTTTCCGTCCCGTAACCGCCGTCGAACGGCACGGTGATCGCCTGACCATTGGCTGGAAGAGCGGTGACCACGCTCCCATTGACTGCGTGGCGGCTAGCAGTGCTCCCATTGACTCCTTGACCGTTGCCTGCGTGGCCATTGGCATCGTGACCGGCGACTCCATGACTGATGACCCCGTGACCGGTGACTCCGTGACCGGTGACGCTGTGACCGGTGACGCCGTGGCCGGTGATCCCGGAGCTGGTGAGCCGAAAGCTGGTGACGCCGCAGCTGGTGATGCCGTGACCGTTGATTTCGCGGCTGACATTTTCGCTGCCGGGCGGCGACGCGCTCTCGGTGCTGTAACCGGACGAGCTCTTCTTGTCGGCCGGCTCCGCGGCCGGCTCATCCGGCTCCGGGTCCGGACAGCGCACGTACAGACCGCACCACGTGCCCAGCTGCTGCTCCATCGAGCTCAGCTGGTGGATGTCCGCCGTCAGCTGATCCATGCATTGCGACAGGTTGATGCGCTGCAGATCGCGTATCAGGCCATCCACGTCCCGCGCGGGGCCTCGTCGTGGTGGCGGCATTGGCGTGCCGCCCGAGCCGCACTGTGCTGGCATCTAGCGACTGCTGGGCCAATCACAGGTTGCGGATCTACTCGAGCATCTGTGGGGAGAAAGCAGTTAGTTTTCAGCGGTGCCAAATTCGCCGCGTTTGCTTAAGCAGTCCTCAGGTTGCGGGCGAGAGAACCATTTTCTGTAAAGCTAGTGTGTTTTCAGCAACATGACCCAAACAAAAGCTGGGCGCTCAGTCGATCCCATCTCCATGACGTGATGTGCATCACCAGAGATGCCAGGCGAAGTAAGTCCATATTTGGGTACGTAAGCTGTCGGCGAAGCCTCTCAGTGCGCGGTGACAACTGAGTTGGCAACTTGA